CCCGGTAGTCAGAGCGTTTCTGACTAGATGGTCGTATTCTTTTTCTGGGTAAATGCTATAATATTTGCAAACTGAGTAAAGGTAGCAGAAGCCTGTAAGTAAGAGTAGAGTCCCATAATGGAGACTTTGTAATCATTTTTTCTGAGTGAAATTTAACCTTTTAGGCTCTCTGCAAGTGCACTATGGTTTTGCTGCCTCTTTCCTCTCACTATTTCCCCCCCATCATTCTCTAAGGGCTGAAGAACTGACTGAGACTAATTAAAGATTCTGTTAATAGTCTCTAACTGCTGTCCTAATGGGAAAGTTTCTTTTAATGGTGCAATTCAAATGGTACTTAATAACTGCATTAAGTTCTGACTTACTTGTTTCTGGTGAAAAGAAATAATAGAAGACAAAGAAGTTTCGTGTGAAAGCCACAGAGTTTGTTGTTATGAGAAAAGTTAAACTGTCTGAAGACGATTGAAGTACTGGGACTGCATTAGTGTCGTTACATACTTGTCCAAGGAGAGGCGAATTAGCTGAGGGACCATCATACACTTTAATATTTTCTGTTTCGCAGCTTGAAGAAGGAGCAAATCTATTTAAAAAACAAACAAACAAAACAACAAACCCCACAATGAAGACCTAAGCTCACTTACAGATATACAGGCTCTTTGGAGTCCACTACACAGATTCAATAAGCATTTTACTAAAGCAAATACAGAGGAGTATCTGGAGACAATATTTTTCCGTGCTGTATTCTAATGGAATGAGACAGTACAAAAACATCTGGAGGAATCACTTACTTGAAATAGGAGAAAATGAGCCTAATTATTTGATTTTCATTCCTCTGAATCTGCCAGACGCAGTTTGCATTTGCATTTAGTTCAATCCTTAATGCTTTGTTGAGCTCGTGAAGTGAAGCGCCACAGCGAGGTACGCCTATTGAAGAACAGCAACAAAAAACAGCTTGCAAGGATCTCTCTCAAGTTTTCTCTTGCAATAAGCTTTCCTCCTCCCCTACGCAAAAGCTCTGGGACAGTCCATCATGGAACAGACATGCAAAATGTTGTACTATTATTATTTTTATGTATATTACTGCAGTTTATGAAAGAGTCAAATAGTAAAAGTATATTAGAAAATGTTTTTTATCCTGATTTTCCTAGTAGCAGAGAAAAGAGGAGTTAGGGCAGCACATATCACAGATGAAGACGAGGGCAAAACTCGAAATGACAAGTGACGCCTCAGCAACTCTATTCTTCAAGGCTGGTCACCACAAGCACC